CTTCTTTGTTCAATAGTTAAAAATATTCGAATCAATTTATATGAAGTTTAGTTAATCTTTTCTTCGCTCTGATTAAAAATAGATCATCTACGTCAATACTAGTATATTTATAAGTGATTAATTATAAAGACTTCATGGTTTGGTTTCAAGAGATTGTCGAGATTCAAACTCAAGACGTTTAAATTTACAGTTCGTCCTTATTACTACTTGAATTATTCTTTGAGGTTCTTACTCCCTTTTTTTACTCCCACAATAATGTTGTACTCGACATTCCGTTCTCAAAGATTCTATACCGTTATTAGAACATAATTTAATTACTAAATTTGCTATCTAATTTCTCATATTGAACGAGGGCTCATCTAAAATTAAAATGCAGTTTTAAAAATTGAATTGAGGAAATTAGTTGAATTTCAATATACATGCTAGTTATGTATTAAATACTAACCAATTTCGTCGTACCATAATTTAGTTAAGTTTTAAATGTTTACTAATTTGTAATTACATATAAATAGCATATTCAGGCATGATCTTATCGTGTCAAATATTAATTATGCCAATAAATTGATCAGTAAACACCAAATGATGTCAAAATCGTATAATCTTAATATAACCCACTTACGAGTGACAGAAGATTCTATTCATGACCGATTTANTGTCAAATATTAATTATGCCAATAAATTGATCAGTAAACACCAAATGATGTCAAAACCGTATAATCTTAATATAACCCACTTACGAGTGACAGAAGATTCTATTCATGGCCGATTCAAAAACATTCAATAATGTTTTTGACCGGATTGATTTTAATAATCCAAATACAATTGTTTGTTCAATAATTAATCATTCAATTCATTAATAACATAAAGATGATAATAATTTTTTCGGGTAAGTGAATATGATATAATTAATAATTATTGAGTCTATTGAAATTTAACGCAGCAGGTTGGGGTCAGCCCNTAATGTTTTTGACCGGATTGATTTTAATAATCCAAATACAATTGTTTGTTCAATAATTAATCATTCAATTCATTAATAACATAAAGATGATAATAATTTTTTCGGGTAAGTGAATATGATATAATTAATAATTATTGAGTCTATTGAAATTTAACCTCAACAGGTTGGGGTCAGCTCAGGACATAACGTGGAACAGGACGCATGTGCTACTACGTGTCGGCTAAATGGTTGGCCACGCTGGCAATGAGGACAAATTAGCTGTCAATAAGGTGGTTAAGCTTGTTGGATACCACGGAACATCATCAATTGTGAAACCCTTCCACTCCCGTATCCGTATGAGATAGATTCTCAGTCTCAGACAACCCTCCCCTCCTCCTCCTCCTCCTCTTTCCAGGTCACCGACTCACCGTTGCTATTTAATTTATTCCTCGTGGTTAGCTGTCGCACTTCACATGAAAAGGCCACATATCTGTGGGGCCCACCAACGTTACCTTACCTTCTCCAGATTTAAATTCTCTCTTGTTTCTCACGATAACTCGTTATGCTAATCATTCATTAGTGATTCNTCACCGTTGCTATTTAATTTATTCCTCGTGGTTAGCTGTCGCACTTCACATGAAAAAGGCCACATATCTGTGGGGCCCACCAACGTTACCTTACTTTCTCCAGATTTAAATTCTCTCTTGTTTCTCACGATAACTCGTTATGCTAATCATTCATTAGTGATTCCTGATTGCATTAATTGCCAGATGCAACGAACTCACAAATTACCTTGGAAACCAGCGACTGATCCATAATTATTGCAGCGNCTGATTGCATTAATTGCCAGATGCAACGAACTCACAAATTACCTTGGAAACCAGCGACTGATCCATAATTATTGCAGCGTTAATAAGCATTCTGCCAGCAAACAATTGTTTTGTAGGCCAATCGCTAATGAAGCCGAGCAGGACACTCCACTAATCAAGGGTTAAAATAACGAGTTCAAAGCAGGACATGAAAAAAGAATTTCAATATCTTACGTGGAGTTTATGAAAATTCATAATTGATAGTACAATTAGAGGAGTAATATTCCTAGAATCTTGAGAAATGGAGAAATAGTAATATTATAAATCTTCAATTAAAAATCGTTCAACACATGTTTACGTATATCGAGAGATAACTATGATCACAAGTATTAACTAAAAAGATGGATCGATAATTAAGATTCATATTTATAAATAGTAGAGATCAAATTACTGAGAAAGTCTGCAAATAACTAATCTAACTTTTTTACTTATTTATTTGCTTCAAAGTAATTTTATTTTTCTCATAGTCTATCATTTCAATAATTTTTTATTATTTTTATTTAATGTTATGTTCAGCATTCGTTTTCGGTCTCGTTTTGCTTTTGCCTTCCAAATTCAAATTTAGTGTACTTGTTGCTTCTCTTTCTTNAATAATTTTTTATTATTTTTATTTAATGTTATGTTTAGCATTCACATTCGTTTTCGTTTTCGTTTTGCTTTTGCCTTCCAAATTCAAATTTAGTGTACTTGTTGCTTCTCTTTCTTGGTGTTTTTCTTACAATATCGTTTGTCCGTATCTATTTAATATTAATAAAATTATTTAAAGTTCTCAAGTCTCAAGACATAGAAAAAAAATTAGAGATAACTTTTCGTTTTGTTCTATTCGTCTTAGCAATCACGATTTTAAAATCATACGTCAGTTCAAGTTGATAAGATCATACGCATTTAAATTTTAAGTTCACTTGCAATTTAGCATGCCTATAATTAAAAAATACACCAAACATGAATATACAATTTTTTTTTTAGGATTAAGAATGATCAAATTAATTTATATTTTCTTCGATTAATCGCTCTTTTTGAAAGGATCAAACAACAAATCATTTATGCTGCTGAGACTTAAAAATTTACCAGGGATGGTAATTTCACAATTGTGCCACAACTTTTTCATTATTTTTTGTCAAGGCAATCATTAATTGCAATTTACTGCTAACCACTTCCACAAGAAGTACAACTAATTGTTGCTTTTTGTCTGTATCCTTTCCTATCGGGTATTAACGCAACACAAAGCGACAATGAGAGCAATTTCTCGCGTTTCTCGTGATTAACCGCTGGATAAGGCTTTTCCTTTTGGGGAGTTTTTGACGCTTTAATTACACTTTGTACTTCTAAGTATTTACCTGGTTTTTATTTTAGTCCTTTACTTTATTTTTACGCCAATGCCATCGTCTAATTTTCAACTTACCATCCAATGCAATCATAAAAGTAATTGTAGTTATTTGTTTATGAAAAAAAATAAAATTATTATTTGTAGTGATAACACATGGTACTTGATGTTAATAATGCTCGAGTTTCACTCAATTTTGGTTCAATCAAGTTTCTTCTTATTATAATAAAATGAACTTAGTATGAAATACTTTTGTTCAAATAGTTTAATATCTAAGTCGGATTGGGCAATATGTCACTTTTTTATGATAAACATAATAAATAACATACTTAGTTCCATGTATTAGGTGTCTAATTTCTAATAAAAACAATGTGACTTTGAGTCTCATTGTATGTGTGTTTTTCTCAACATTTATTCAAGCCTTAATGTATATTCAAGTTCTTAGCACAAATAAAACACCCAAATGACCTAAACTTGAACATATGATCTAGAGCCGAACTAACTTAGCAAGTTTTCAAAATTGACAATCTAACTTGAGTTGAGGATGAATTTGTTATACCAATGAATTTTTGGTTCAATGATACTTTTTATCTTATAAATGAACTACCTTCTTGAGGTTAAAGGTTCAAGTCCCTTCTCTCTTTCACCCCTCCCTCAAAAAATTTTTTTTTAAANTGTTCAATGATACTTTTTATCTTATCAATGAGCTACCTTCTTGAGGTTAAAGGTTCAAGTCCCTTCTCCCTTTCACCCCTCCCTCAAAAATTTTTTTTTAAAAAAAAAGATGAATTTGTTATACCAATTCGAATATAACATAAACATATCAAAATTCAAAAGATTTGGCAAGTTAAAGGACTAAAATANGGTTCAATGATACTTTTTATCTTATAAATGAACTACCTTCTTGAGGTTAAAGGTTCAAGTCCCTTCTCTCTTTCACCCCTCCCTCAAAAAATTTTTTTTTAAAAAAAAGATGAATTTGTTATACCAATTCGAATATAACATAAACATATCAAAATTCAAAAGATTTGGCAAGTTAAAGGACTAAAATAAAATTTTATGTAAAATTTGAGTGCAAAGAGTAATTAATTAATCTATTTTATTTATAAACTTGGAAAAGAAAAAGAAAAAGATAAAGATCGGACAGCTTTTCTTAATCGGATAACTCATCGCTCTCGGTGGATATGTAGACAAGGAAGCGGACCTGAGATAAATGGGGCGGACTCGAAACGCAAAGCCTAGCTAGATTTTAGAGAGTGTTGAGGTCCGCGTTGTGAAAACTGCGAACNTCGGACAGCTTTTCTAAATCGGATAACTCATCGCTCTCGGTGGATATGTAGACAAGGAAGCGGACCTGAGATAAATGGGGCGGACTCGAAACGCAAAGCCTAGCTAGATTTTAGAGAGTGTTGAGGTCCGCGTTGTGAAAACTGCGAACTGCGAACTCCTCTCTCTCTCTCTCTCGCACCATAAAGGGTTAAGGCAAGAGTTAGTGTGAGTAACCGCGAGGAGCATCGTCTGTTGGAGAGTGAGCGAAAGAGTGAGGTCATTCAAACAGAGTGATCGGAAAAATGGGAAGATNAAAAGATCGGACAGCTTTTCTTAATCGGATAACTCATCGCTCTCGGTGGATATGTAGACAAGGAAGCGGACCTGAGATAAATGGGGCGGACTCGAAACGCAAAGCCTAGCTAGATTTTAGAGAGTGTTGAGGTCCGCGTTGTGAAAACTGCGAACTGCGAACTCCTCTCTCTCTCTCTCTCGCACCATAAAGGGTTAAGGTAAGAGTGAGTGTGAGTAACCGCGAGGAGCATCGTCTGTTGGAGAGTGAGCGAAAGAGTGAGGTCATTCAAACAGAGTGATCGGAAAAATGGGAAGATCCAGCACATCTTGCTTCAAGATCATTACCTGTGGCAGTGACTCAGCCGATAACGACGATCTCGATGCCCCTGAGGTATATCTGATTCTTTGGACTTCAGTTTCTTTTGGATTTTAATTGTTTGCATCTTGATTCTTAACCGTTTGACTGCTGAGAAAAATATCTGAAAAGAAATAGGAAATATAATCTAGCGAACGGAGGGTAATGGATCTCCGGTTGCGGTTTTGCTTCTTGTAGTCTATGATATCTCTTTGTCGAAGAGAATAGGTTTTCATGATTTTACAATGTGAGGATTGAGATTCTTTTTATCATGAATGCATGCGGTGGCGTGGGCTAAAAGGTGCGCAAAATGTTGAGGCACATATGGATTAGCCGAAGTTCATTTCTCCTTTGATCTATCAAAAAACTTTTAATTATGAGAGTGAACTGGTTTCAACTAGTGGAAAATCTGTGCGACTTTTAGTGGATATCATTTGCTTTGCTAAAAAACTCTAATAATGTCCAAAATTTCATTAGTTATGAGGTGTGCCACCAAGTGTTTGTACCTTGACCTTGGATGTGACATTGAATGGCATGGTCGCATTTACAACTGGGAAACTTTTGGAGCATGTGACATTTTTGTAGTTTGTCTTTTTATGGTTGGAAGAGATTCTTGTATGGTAATTGGGATGTAGATGTCTTGTGAGAGGGGCTTGTTTCTGAAGAAGTTTCTCCTCTAAATGGTGTAGTGTGGAGTTTAGATTTCCTTTCTTTTAATTTCCTCATAGTAATGTACGGGATTAAATCTTCAGATTTTTTTACGGGATTGAATCTTCATATTTTTTAAAGGACACGCTCTAAGGGTAGCTCCTTGCCATTGGAACCTAATCTGCCGGTTATAGTCTTATTACATTATTTGACATTGGAATTTTGGGCTGAGGTGTCTTTTTCAATTTGATTATCAGATTATTTCCTCATTCTAGTATGTTGAACGTGGTATGCCATCGATGTTGAACAGAATAGCTTATCAGATTCAAGAATGAGGTATTGTGCTTAGTTGCTTATGTCACACGTATTTGCATACCGTGATGAATCTGCAACTACATGCATCATGCAAATGATGCTGATCAAAGATACGTGCTCTTCCTATGTGGGACAAAAATTCTTTATGTATACTACTCCTGAATAAATTCCTACATGATGCTTTCCTTTGGGACAAAACAGTAAAATTTTATGATGACATTCTTGATTCTCATTTTGGGGGTTAGTGTCTGTCCCACGTGGGTTGTCTACTGGAATTTATATGAATTTATGTCCTAGGGATAGAGAAGTGCAGTGTTCATTAATGGTTGGAAACACGTGTACAGCTTTCCTTTTTTTGACATATACATGGACATTGATGTAGAATAGTTATGTATCTTGGGCATCCGTTGATTTATCCATTATTGGAGCTTTGTGAAGTCTTTATGAAGTTAGCCTTGCCTGCAAGCCAGCCCCCATTTGGATCAGGCTCCTCCATTTTTTTTAGTCTCTTTCATTTGCTCTCAAAGCTGGAACAAGCTTTTTCAAATAAAGGTATTAGGCAAGGGGAGCTCCCTCTTCCCCTTGTACTTGCACTAGTGGTTGATTTCCCATTGCTGGAACTTTTTTCCCAACGTCTCGGGCCCCAATAAGGAAGAGAGAATGCATCAGTGATGTCAATATGAGATTTCTTTCATTTTAAAATAGCAGTATCTTAGGTTGACTTTGTTCTAAGAATTCTATTTTAGGCGACATTATCACATGTGACATTGCCCCAAGAATTCCCTGGACAGATACATGCCTGTGATAGTAACTTTCTCTGCATCAGGAACACGAGCAGTCTTGACATACTGCTCCATGTCTCACAGGAAATTCTCCAAATGAATGGATAAGTAAGAGGGGGAGTAAATCGGTTAACTGGTGGTAACTGAATAAAAAAAAAGGAGCATATACATAGGGTTGCTCCCAATCTTGATCATGCCTGGCACTCAGGGTGGGGTTACACCTTCTAGGAGAGCTTGTCTTCATTCCATTTACTTTTTTCCCAAACCTGTCGTTAAGGACAGTGGGTGGACAGGTAATCTGAAAACTGATTGATTGCCATTCTTCAACATTTAACATTTTATCCTCCCCCCCCCCCCCAAAAAAAAAAAAAAAAAAAAGGATGAAATAATACAACTGCCTGAGTGATTCATTCAGTTTTCCTATTGGTCCATGATTTCTTGCACCTATGGGCATCCCAGGGCACGATTGAGTGGTATTTCAATTTTTTTAAATCATCCAATTGTGCGCTTTTATAGGTGATGAGCTTTTAACATGTATTTGGATGCTTTGTTGTTTGCATTAAACCAGACAAGTTACATGCCACCATGCTTTCACTCTGAATTTTTGCTGAATTTATCAAATGTAGGAGCATCGAATATATTTTACTTCCAAGGTACTTCCTGGTTGGACAGCATTTGACATGACGCACTTCTGTAGATCAGCCCCGATTTTAGTGCTTATATGCTAGTGTCCACAATGAAGGAAGAATAGGAAAGATTTTTGACAATGCTAGGCTATTTTGCTTGGTTATGTAGGCTTCCTTTCTTACCTTATCTTAGAAAGAAAGCTAAAACTTTCTTTTCCATGGTGGAAAATTAAAACAGTCCATTTGTATACTGTTTGTTCTCTCTCTCTCTCTCTCACACACACACGTGCATAATTGAAGTATGGCGATGTTTCCTACAACGGAGATCTCAATGCGGTTCTACCAATTCCAGCTGCTTAAATATTCATTGAACTGAACTATCAATGAATGATGGAAATCCCTCAAACTTCATTAAAGTTTTTGCACAGTGGAACATCAGAAGATACAATTGCAATTTTATTACTTACTGAACAAAAAATTTATAATTATGTCATGTTCATTATCGCCATGACAATAATATCTTCTTTATATGGTTACGTGATTCAAAGCATCTTTCCTAGCTTGTTTGTCTTAGGAATAAAAGATCGATGTTTTTCATAGGTAAACTAGGGAGAAAGAAAAAAAACAAAGAACGAAGAAATAACCTTTGAATCTTGGTGACTTTTAAATCATCTAAAAAAGGATAATGACCAGGATTCGCTTTCTAAATAACATCTATTAAAGTGACTAACCTGTTCAAAAATCCTGCTTTTTTAAAGCCAATTCCTCCTTCAATTTCTTAAAGAGAAGAATGTTATGTGGTAAGCTTTCTTTTTCATACTCAATTGTGTCTTTCCTTATCTTTGTATCTTTTTTTTTTATTCAAAAAAANATTCAAAAATCCTGCTTTTTTAAAGCCAATTCCTCCTTCAATTTCTTAAAGAGAATGTTATGTGGTAAGCTTTCTTCTTCATACTCAATTGTGTCTTTCCTTATCTTTGTATCTTTTTTTTTTATTCAAAAAAAAACGAAGCGTATTCCCCATATGTTTTTCTTATTTGATTCTCAAGCGGGTGAGTTAGGTAAGGTGCGCTAAATGAGCGTTGACGACTTCTTTCTTTCATGAAGAAAGAGAGTCACATTATTAGTAATTATTACTATATTTATGATTCTTTCAATAAACTGATTGGGTCTATTTGGCTTTGACTCCATGAATTTTTGATTCCTAAAAAGCCAATGTTCTCTTTCGTATAAATTCTATTGATTGTGTTTTGAGTTCTGGGGAGTATGGATCTCTGCTTTGTTCTTTCTTGGTCTTCCTAAATTCAGTGTTGTTGTTCCAATTTCCCCACAGAGCAAAAGTTCGGATGACAAACGTGGATGGAGTTTTCGGAAGAGATCGGTGAGGCATCGAGTACTGAGCAACACTGTGATCTCAGAAACGCCTTCTGCAAATAAGGAGAGTCCAGAATCTGCTACTGTCTGCGTCCAAACACAAGCTAACTCTACTATTGCAGAGAAAACCCCTGGAATGCAATGGGCAGATGAGAAACCTCAGTCAATGAACTTAAAATCATGTGAGACTATAGCTGCTATAGAGGATGACAATAAGGTTGATGTCACCCCAGATGAATCTGTTATCATTGTCATCCAGGCTGGTATCAGGGGATTCTTGGTACGTTCCTTTAATCATTTTACTGTATGAACTTTATGATCAGTTTTAACTTCTATGTCAACGTGTTTCAGCAGGCTCAGAGAGCATTACTGAAGCAGAAGAATATAGTTAAGTTGCAAGCTGCTGTGAGAGGACATTTGGTTCGGAGGCATGCTGTGGGAACTCTACGTTGTATTCAAGCCATTGTCAAAATGCAAGCTCTTGTTCGTGCACGTCATGCTCGCCTCTCTAAAGAAAGGCCAAGCATTGAAGAGAAGCTAAATGAAAAGCATGGGATAGATAATCCCAGTTTAGAACTCTTGGTAATGCTACCTAATTCAAATTTATCCACTTTCCAGCTTTATTGGTTGGCTATGCTGTTTTGTTCTGTCCCTTGTTGCATCCTTACTGCTTGGCTCTAGCTGCATAATAGCTCTCAGACGACGGCAACACTCCTGCAAATAGGTTTGCTAATTTGCTAATTATTATTGTGATGGTATGTTCAAAACTGATTCATATTTAGGACAGTACAATCATTGACAAAAATTCTAAATCTCGAAGGAAATAGGTTAGGCATTGATACCTTTCAGTATTTGTTAGTGTATATCTCAAAGTGTGGAACTTAAGCATCATCCCCTTGAGAATATAAATCACTCTGATACAGGATACACACTGCTAAACTCATCTTCATGCGCATGAAGAAGCTTCTGTGCTTATGCGAGATCATGTCAACTACATGTATATTAAAGAAGCTACGTATGGTTGTAATTAGATTCTTTCCAAACCATTCTAATTGAGAAAATTATAATGTTTGTTCAATGTTCTGTATTTTAACTTCTTTTCCAACCATAGCTATTCAAACAACGTGTTGACCGGCGGCCAAGCTTATTCAGCAGCTCAGGTAGCCTTTGAAAACAATACATGAATTTAATAAGGACTCAAAAAGCTCAATATATCATCCATACTATTGAGATTTAGTTTAATCAATGTTTTCAAAAGTGCTTGCCATGATTCTTGGGTTGAGATTCTAGAAGATGTATGAGGATGTTCAGATTATATGGTTATCAGTAATTATTGTCAAAAAGTTGATGCTTGGGATGTCATCTTTTCCCCTCAAGTTCTCATGGACTCTTTAACGTGGTTGGTTTTAATGTTAATTTTAAATTCATGAAGGCAAGATTAGTATCATTTCACTGGTCGAGGAAATACTTTCATGTACCTGTGGACAAAAACTGCTGTTTTTTCAGTTATTGATTATTATGTCTGATTGTTCCAACGTGTTTCAGAAAAAGGAAAAGTCAAGAACTGAACTGCACTTAACATACACTTCCATTGAGAAGCTACTCAGCAATAGGTTTGCTCGTCAGGTAGAGGATTGACATTTCTCCCTCTCTTGGCCTGGTACTACATTGCAAATCATTGACCTGGATTGCATTTTTGTTCTTACCAAACTTTTATTCGTCTTTCTGTATATAAGCTTCTGGAATCAACACCAAGGGGTAAACCTATAAACATCAAATGTGATCCTTCAAAATCTGATTCGGCTTGGAAATGGTTGGAACGGTGGATGTCTGTTTCATCAACGGGAAATGAACAGTCACAGAAATTACTGTCAAGTACAGAGCCACAGGATCTGGAAAAGGTTGAGCATTCTGAGTGTTTGGTTGAAAATGTGGTTCCATCTGATAGTTGTTCCAAGTCCACAGATTCAAAATCCAATATAGAGGAAACATCAGTGCCATCTGACGGCAAAGAAAATTTGATAACTTATGATGCAGATGACTTTTACTTCCAAGCATGCCAATCACCCTCATCTTCCGTGAGTCATAGCGCGGAGCAGCCTCAGACTGAGAGCACAGTCACGCCAAATTCAATGGAGAGCTCATTAGATGTGGTTCCTAGTCAACCTAAGCAATCAGATTCAATTTGTGAGATGGAGCTCAGTTCCCTTTCTAGTAAGCCTGAAATGGAGAGTGATCAATCTGAACATGCCATGAAAAGGTTTGCCTCTGAACAACCTGAGATTGAGGAAAAAAAGCTTGTGTTGGGATCAAGAAAGGCAAGTAATCCTGCATTTATAGCTGCTCAGTCAAAATTTGAAGAGTTGAGTTCAGCAATCAATTCAACAAAATCAATCAGTACGTCAAATCAGGATCCTGGTGTTGAATCTTTTGCAGAATCTGTTTCTTCTGCCACAGATAATGCTTTAAGGACAAGGGAAATTGGCCCAACTGAGAATTCAGTTTCCCATATTTCGAGGGTTCGAGTTGGTGGCTCTGAGTGTGGTACTGAACTGTCTATTTCTTCTACTCTTGATTCTCCAGATAGTTATGAGGTGGGAGGTATGGCTTTGCAGCAGGAAGCCAATATTTCAGAGGATGGGGGAAACCATAATGGCACTAAAAGCGTAGATATTGAAGCCAAGGGAGATTCTACCGTTCTTGGAACTGACTTATCTAATTCCATCTCAGTTCAGCCAGAGAAATGTGATGAAGTCAATAGTGCTAATAATGAACCTGTTAATTCTTTAATAGCTGAGGATTCCTCCCTGGTAGAGCAGAACACAGAGAGAAAAGCATCTGATATGCAGATAGAGCTGGAATTTGAGACAGGTCATCAAGTATACAAGTCATCACCAGAAGCGTCTCCAAGAAGCCACTTAACTGTCCCTGAATCTCAAGGAACACCTTCTAGTCAGGTATCAGTGAAAACTAAGAAGCCCAAAAGTGAAAAAAGTGGATCCAAACACAAACCTATGTCTTTGCCTGCTGCTAAAAGTTCCTTTTCAAATTCTAATCACGATTCTGGTGCAAGAAGTAGTTTGGAACAATTACCTAAAGATCATAAAACTGGAAAGCGGCGTAATTCTTTTGGTTCGGCAAGACCTGATCATGTTGATCAGGAACCAAGAGATAGTGCTGGCAGTGGTATTTCTCTGCCGAATTACATGCAAGCAACAGAATCTGCAAGAGCTAAAGCTTTTGCCAATAGCTCTCCAAGATCAAGTCCGGATGTGCAAGACAAGGACATTCACATTAAAAAAAGACACTCCCTACCTGGTGCTAATGGAAGGCAGGGATCACCTCGGATCCAACGGTCTCCATCTCAGGCACAGCAGAGTGCAAAGGGAAATGGCACCCATCCTCATGGTATTTCGTAATCCCCATGCGTTTCTTTTCGGATTGAAAGTTCTGCACTTAAAATTGTTACATCTTGGCTTAGGCCAATATCCTTATATCAAGAGGAGCTGTCCTGCAATGCTTAATTTTTGATTTTGACCTGGTAGTATTTACGCAAGCACATGTAATGCTGGCTATATGGCTATGAAACTTGATACCTTTTGAGTAATCTTGGTCTAGTTGCCTTTTTCATTTTCTGCATCTGTCTTTCTATATATCCTGCATAGTGATTTCCTTTTTAAACCCCAACTAGTGAGTGCCTCCATCTTTTCATATTTTAAATAGTTACTAACTTCTATTCCATCCTAAAGTACTTCAATTCTAAGTCAGAAAGGATCTTTTATGTCATATATTATGGTTGTCAATTATTGATGGTATTCATGTCCAATTTCATGCATCGACTACCATTGTAATTTGCGGGAGAGTGTAATATGACGGATTGCCTGTTTTGATGTCTGATTTCTTCCAGAGACCTGTTTAACCAGTCCCCGCCTATGGTTTGTAGCTTACTATAGTTTCCTGTATCTACCCAATAATCTTTATGAATAAGGTCCCTAAATCTACATTTAGTTCCCTGTAGCATTCAGATGTGTTTAAAATGTTGTGTGTTGTGCCCAAAATGGTCATTTTCGGCTTATATTGACCCCTTCTTTTAACTTTGGCAGTATTATCTTTATCCTTATGTTTCTTGTCAGCTATATAAGTAGTTTTGGCACATCTTTTGTCACTCACTACCTGAATGGTGCTCATTTCAGAGAGAAAGTGGCAGAGGTAAATACTCTTGAAGACACAGAGCCAACAACTTTGTTTGATTAGATGAGCATTTGGAGTTGGTTGTGCCAATCTTCTTGGTGGGTAGCCATATTGTGTTGATTCTTGGCATTCTTCATCTTTGATATTTGCATAAGGAAAGCAGTGCACTGGATTTGTATTTGTTAAGAGGGAATATGTAGAGAATAGAGCGAGATATTATGTAAATGACTGTCAGTACTATGCCTATCCTTTGTATTTTCTTGAAGGTTTCCGCTTCAGAGGATTGCTCGTGTGCTTGTTTAAGAGTATTATGTCTTGTGACATTATCAGAAGGTGCTGGTTAATAATACCAAGTTTGGACATCAATTATATATGATACATGGTTTTTCCTAGATCTGTATCACTTTCTGTTGTTTTCAACTGTTTCTATATCCCTTTCATCACATTTTTTTTCCCTCAAATGGATTGGTAGGGGACTCAATTACATATGGTGCTTCCAATTGATTTCATAATTAATAAGATGTATGGGTTCTAAATGTGTGTCGTGGGTATTGTATAACTGGGTTTTTCATCTCTCCAACAACTAATATCAAAATTTATGATTAATAATCCTTGGTGAACGTTTTAATACGCTGTAGCGTGTCAATATTAATAATGACTCTTAAGGACGGTGGTGTCTCCTGGTATTCAAGTCATAAAAATATAGTTGTAGGTAAGTAGATGCAAGGACTCTTGATAGAATGATAATGATATATTACTCTTGATATAAGAAATAAAAGTATGGTTTTTAGAAAGAGTGTATTCTTGTAAAAGAATGGGTAGAGGCGATACTTGGAGAGTGATGGATCAAACTCAAATACAAAAAATAAAGTGTCGTGCGGTTCACGCTTGAAGAAATTGTGTATAAATAGATGAAGTGATGGGCCAAACTCGTCATAGCGTAGTAAATTAGAAGCAGAAAATTGTCAGCTTGAGTTGAAGTAGAAACCTGACAAATCATTAAAATACATTCTCGGCGTAACATACTTATCTTGCCTGCTTTTGTTTCTTAGTGGGAAGAACTTTTCTCTTTTTTGGCAATAAGTCTTTCTGACTTTCATAACGAGAGACTGATTAATCATAAAACATATTACTGAGCTGTCGATTGATGAATCGTTACTGTCGTCTTAAAGACTGCGATCAAATCTTAAATTAAAACAGAGTCAGAAATTGATCTTCACTCCAACATATAGCGCATTTTTAATATGCAGAAATGCACGCACTATATTTGACTGTGTCTCTAACCTAACCACACATAAAAATAATAATAATAATAATAAAGGACTCTTGAAAACAGAAATAAATAACAAATAAAATTATGTAAAATAGGGAGTATTGGNCTGTGTCTCTAACCTAACCACACATAAAAATAATAATAATAATAAAGGACTCTTGAAAACAGAAATAAATAACAAATAAAATTATGTAAAATAGGGAGTATTGGATTTAATCTGAACTGTTCTTATACTTTTTCAACCTTGAAAATTCAAAATCACCTCTATCTTATAATTATAAATTGCAATTTTCATCACACAAAATTTAAAAATTCTCACTTTATACCTTAAAACATTAAAATTCCAATATTACAATCTCAATATTTTAAAAGTGGCATAATACGGTTCTATTGTTAGCTTTTGTTGTTCATTTCTTTAATGTCAATGAAATATTTTTTTATCAAATGAGCAACAAAAATTAATGATTAGGTCATATTATAATAATTTTATTACATTGAGAATATAATATAATATAAAAAAAATCTTAAATTTTTAGGTATACAAAATGGCATCCACCTTCGGTTAGAGAATCCAACAATATTACATATAGTGTCAAAATTTGACTCAAGATATTTGGGTTTACAGTTCGTCCCAGTTATCACTTGAACTATTCTTTGAGTTTTTATTTATTTCAGTTACGCGCAATTTGTGAGAATTATTTAAGGTAGGGAGAAGAGAAATTTGAAGATTGGATTTTGTGGTTTTTGGTTGAGTTGTGAATTATTTGAAGACTGAATTGCATAATCTTCCAGAGTTCCAGGGAGGAAGAGAAAAGAGAGGGAGGGAATGGGGGGTTTGAGAAAAAACCCACTGCACTAAAAAAATTGTGTATAGGAGTTTTGTTGTCTATATGTGACCCAACCCAAAGTGTTACTTTAAGTGGGCTTGTACTGAAAAGCCGATGACCATTAGATGTTGGGCCCAAGGACTATCCTGGTTGCTCCATGCAAATTACAAGGATTTGGCCCACCCTCTTCGTCTTTGGGCAGTTCTAAATCAATGGCTGAATTGGACTGATCCATATACGGGGTCTGTCTGCTTCCCTTCTCTTGTCAATTTTTTATGGAAAAGTCCTACTTTCATTTTTCGACCAATAAAAACATGGCACGCATTTTTAATGTTGTATTATCTCATTATTAATTTAAAATCATAAATTATTTAATTCAAAAATCATGGCTAAAATAGATGAAATTACGGTATCGATTTTAATACTGTAGCGATGCTCTTCATTTTTATGGCAGATCATGTTGAAGAACATAAAGTGCAAAATTCAATATCTTTTAATGTGGTTCAAATGCAGATAATAAAAAATATAAATTGTTTTATGTGTCCAAATGATATTTAGTATGGACTTTAATGACATGGCCCAACCCAATATATTTGGGCTTATTGCAGAACAAAAAGATGACCACAAGATCATAAGCCCCGTTCAGTTAGTCCAGTGGACCTCGTGAATTACTGTTTTCTCGGCCAACCCACTTTGATAAGGAGTCCAAGGCTCCACACATGTCTCAGCCTTCTGCTCAAAGGCANCCAGTTATCACTTGAACTATTCTTTGAGTTTTTATTTATTTCAGTTACGCGCAATTTGTGAGAATTATTTAAGGTAGGGAGAAGAGAAATTTGAAGATTGGATTTTGTGGTTTTTGGTTGAGTTGTGAATTATTTGAAGACTGAATTGCATAATCTTCCAGAGTTCCAGGGAGGAAGAGAAAAGAGAGGGAGGGAATGGGGGGTTTGAGAAAAAACCCACTGCACTAAAAAAATTGTGTATAGGAGTTTTGTTGTCTATATGTGACCCAACCCAAAGTGTTACTTTAAGTGGGCTTGTACTGAAAAGCCGATGACCATTAGATGTTGGGCCCAAGGACTATCCTGGTTGCTCCATGCAAATTACAAGGATTTGGCCCACCCTCTTCGTCTTTGGGCAGTTCTAAATCAATGGCTGAATTGGACTGATCCATATACGGGGTCTGTCTGCTTCCCTTCTCTTGTCAATTTTTTATGGAAAAGTCCTACTTTCATTTTTCGACCAATAAAAACATGGCACGCATTTTTAATGTTGTATTATCTCATTATTAATTTAAAATCATAAATTATTTAATTCAAAAATCATGGCTAAAATAGATGAAATTACGGTATCGATTTTAATACTGTAGCGATGCTCTTCATTTTTATGGCAGATCATGTTGAAGAACATAAAGTGCAAAATTCAATATCTTTTAATGTGGTTCAAATGCAGATAATAAAAAATATAAATTGTTTTATGTGTCCAAATGATATTTAGTATGGACTTTAATGACATGGCCCAACCCAATATATTTGGGCTTATTGCAGAACAAAAAGATGACCACAAGATCATAAGCCCCGTTCAGTTAGTCCAGTGGACCTCGTGAATTACTGTTTTCTCGGCCAACCCACTTTGATAAGAAGTCCAAGGCTCCACACATGTCTCAGCCTTCTGCTCAAAGGCAGACAGACTCCAATATCAATGTCTACTTGTTTCCAAGCCTGCATCTCTGCAGAGACGGGCCCGGGGACTTTCCTGGGCCTAACCAAAGCAAGTGCTTTGATAACAGCCCACTCACGAAGTCTTGCGGTCATTTGTCAATTAGGGGACCCAGCCTCTCCTATTAACGATAATAATTTCCTTTGGATTATCCGATGTGGGATNTCAGTTATCACTTGAACTATTCTTTGAGTTTTTATTTATTTCAGTTACGCGCAGTTTGTGAGAATTATTTAAGGTAGGGAGAAGAGAAATTTGAAGATTGGATTTTGTGGTTTTTGGTTGAGTTGTGAATTATTTGAAGACTGAATTGCATAATCTTCCAGAGTTCCAGGGAGGAAGAGAAAAGAGAGGGAGGGAATGGGGGGTTTGAGAAAAAACCCACTGCACTAAAAANCTCTCCTCTGTCTCCAAACGTTCCTTACTTCGTCGTCTTCCTCTCTCTCTCTCGGGAAAAAGCACGATCATCCTTGCCTTTGGTTCGCTGAGTATCACTGCGATTACAACGGTTTTCTGATTCTTGGTAATTTATGATTATTAATTCTTAAATTTATCCAATTGTGTTGAATATTAGACAATTACTAATACATCTGATGCTAAATAATTGAATTTGGTTAAAATTGAACAAACTTGAAATTGAATAGATCCCATTGTAGTTCATATTGATAGATTAAACTTTGATCAAATTCAATCCAAATTCAAATTGGGAGATACCCAACCTTATTATCATAAAATGCACAAAAAAACTAAGAAATAAGTTCGTTAATCACTTAGACCTAAAACCCATAAAAAAGTTGCTNTACTGTTTTCTCGGCCAACCCACTTTGATAAGGAGTCCAAGGCTCCACACATGTCTCAGCCTTCTGCTCAAAGGCAGACAGACTCCAATATCAATGTTTGCTTGTTTCCAAGCCTGCATCTCGGCAGAGACGGGCCCGGGGACTTTCCTGGGCCTAACCAAAGCAAGTGCTTTGGTAACAGCCCACTCACGAAGTCTTGCGGTCAGATGTCAATAAACGGACCCAGCCTCTCCTATTAACGATAATAATTTCCTTTGGATTATCCGATGTGGGATTTTGATTTCTGCTATGCTATGTCTCAGGTATCTTTTCTCTCTCCTCTGTCTCCAAACGTTCCTTACTTCGTCGTCGTCCTCTCTCTCTCTCGGGAAAAAGCACGATCATCCTTGCCTTTGGTTCGCTGAGTATCACTGCGATTACAACGGTTTTCTGATTCTTGGTAATTTATGATTATTAATTCTTAAATTTATCCAATTGTGTTGAATGTTAGACAATTACTAATACATCTGATGCTAAATAATTGAATTTGGTTAAAATTGAACAAACTTGAAATTGAATAGATCCCATTGTAGTTCATATTGATAGATTAAACTTTGATCAAATTCAATCCAAATTCAAATTGGGAGATACCCAACCTTATTATCATAAAATGCACAAAAAAACTAAGAAATAAGTTCGTTAATCACTTAGACCTAAAACCCATAAAAAAGTTGCTAATCAACTCAACACTAAAATACCATGTAACAAATAGTTGAGGCAAATATTGACACCTTGTAGTAAAAAAAAATACTCAAGACTAAAAAAAAAAAAAATATCACATATCATATCAAAAATCAATTTAGTCATAGATTTACTTTGCATTGTAACATTGCTTGTTAAAATAATAAAAAATAGTAACCTAGTAAAACAACANAAAATCAATTTAGTCATAGATTTACTTTGCATTGTAACATTGCTTGTTAAAATAATAAAAAATAGTAACCTAGTAAAACAACAAACTTTACATATAGCACAGTTTGATTGAACTAAGTGCTGTATTAAAAATAATATTTCCATACCGCATTGCTAACTATCTAACTAATGCATCACTATATCACCCTAACCACCTAAATTGTTAGAGTAATGCCAAAGTGCTTTGATCTGTGGGTCTTTAAAGTTAGGGATTGAAAAATATGAAAAGACGCATTAACACGATACAAGATAAAGAGATTTGAATTTTCTCTCGATCATTCATTTTGTAAACAAGAAAATCCGATTTATCAAAATTAATAAATAAATTGAGTATAAATAAAGTTAAATATATAAATTTGATATAATATAATTTATTAAATATAAATTAATAAAGTAGTGAAGACCTGACACGTTGGGATTGACTGAACACTCGGAACACTAGTCAAACATTTTCCAAAAGCTCTCGTTAAACTTAAGCAAACAAAATCAANTAAATTAATAAAGTAGTGAAGACCTGACACGTTGGGATTGACTGAACACTCGGAACACTAGTCAAACATTTTCCAAAAGCTCTCGTTAAACTTAAGCAAACAAAATCAACACCTACACAGCCTAACATTACATACAACTGGGTAGCAATAGACAGAAGTATAGCACCAATTTNAGAAGTATAGTACCAAATTTTTTTTAATCGAACTATAATCAACTCTTTTTGTTAATGTCATAATCAACTTTTTAACACTTTACCTTCCACTTCCTCACTCCCACAAATCACAGTTTTCAACTCTCTCTCTCTCTCTCTCTCTCTCTCGCGGAAGTGGAAGTGGAAGTGGAAGCAGGGCAAAGATGGGCTCTGTTTCGTTGAAAATTGGTGATGGAAGTGCCAGATTCAAAAGGGCTACACTGTGTTCTTCAACTGTAAACGTTCTCATGCTATTCTCTGTAATCACCACGAATCTCTTTGCTTTGTATGCTTTCACATATTCCCCAAAGGACCACCACGCAAACGCAGTTCACCATACTCACAAGAACATCTCTCTCATCTCAGAACAAGTCTCTTTGATCCTCAGCGAGATCGATTCTTCTCAGAAAAAGCTTACCCAGATGGAGAAAGAGTTATTGGGCTATGACAGCATAGATCTTTCAAGACCCAACATAGCAAATGAACTTAAATTGTTTCTCCAACACCACCAGCTTCCACTTGGGAAAGATTCAAGAACTGGGATCACTGAAATGGTAGCCTCTGTGGGCCATACATGCGAGAAATCCATGGATTTACTGTCTCAGTACATGGATTACAAGGTCAATGGACCTTGTCCAGATGATTGGAGCTTTGCCCAAAAGCTGATTTTGCGTGGATGTGAGCCTTTACCGAGAAGGAGGTGCTTTCCCAGGACTATTCCCAAGGCGGGTCTACAATCTTTCCCAATTTCACTTTGGAAAAATGTCAGTGATAAAATTTTTACTTGGAGTGGTCTTGCTTGCAAGAATTTGGAGTGCTTGAATAGTAAGAAACTGAATAGAGATTGTGCTGGTTGCTTTGATATAGTTAAGGGATATGAGACTCAGAGATACATTAAGGCAAGAGGCAAAAACGATTTCCTTATTGATGATGTATTAGCAATGGGAAGTGGTGGAATCAGAACTGGATTTGATATTGGTGGTGGGTCTGGGACTTTTGCTGCTAGAATGGCAGAGCGTAATGTGACAGTAATTACTGCCAATTTGAACATTGAAGCTCCTTTTAGTGAATTCATCTCTGCTAGAGGACTTTTTCCTCTATATCTGAGTTTAGATCATAGATTCCCCCTTTATGATAATGTGTTTGATTTGGTTCACGCCTCAAACGGATTGGATGTTGGAGGTAGACCTGAGAAATTGGAGTTCTTGATGTTTGATATCGATCGGATTTTGAGGGCGGGTGGATTGTTTTGGTTGGACAACTTTTATTGTTCAAATGATGATAAGAAAATGGCTCTAACCCGGTTGATAGAACGATTTGGGTACAAAAAACTGAAATGGGTTGTGGGAGAGAAAATTAATGGATCAGGGAAATCAGAGGTTTATTTGTCTGCTGTGCTACAGAAACCTGCAAGAGTATGATGGTTAAGAACTTTTCCTTGATTCTTCAGCAGGTAAGAACAGTGTTTCTTGTCCAAGTTTTTGTCACACAGAACTGTGTAGTTCATAACTTAAAATTCTCATGGAATTTCTTTGCAATGTAGAATAAGTGATGTGCATTGATATGTTTATTTCGCCACCCCTCAATTCACCAGTGTAGCATGAGGATGATCAGTTCTGCAATTAGAAGTTGCCATATGTTTTAACCTGTAATATTATTTCAGGACAATGAACTATTAAGGAAAGAGAAGATCATATTGTATTCTACAATTTGTGAAATATTAAATTGAAATTTAGCAATGAAACAAGGCTTTATGTACATCGATTTTCCAATTGCAGTTAGGAAGTTGCCTTGTTGCAACAACATTGGATCTCTGGTAAAGGTGCATCTTACAACTGCTTACTTGTGTTGTTTTAGTTTCATTATAGAAAGCCCGTTGTCTTTGTCTCGACAGTTAATGGTTTCTTGTATAGCAATATATCATTATGTGATATAGTAACCTTCCACTGGAAGGAAGAAGTGTCTTTGAGAAGAGTGTGAGATGTTTAACCTTTGTATCTGCAAGATTATAATAATCAAAACATAGTTGCAAACAATTTCGAAGTTTTAATCTTAGCGGGCAGCAGTTGATCAATCACTTTTTTACTTTGTTTAGAATCACTTGATAAATGTTGCCAGTTCCATATTTTCATCCAACAAGCAGCCATCCATCAGATATCGCATGCCAATTTTCAATTGATTAATGGGTCCTCTCTAAGTTTTACACATACATTACCTTTCCATCTCTACAAAGCACAAGCTACAATGAAAGCTCTAATATAGCGGTAGCAAATATTCAGTAACTCCATCACTTAGCCTTCCTCGAGATTTTATANCTTATTAAGTTGGAAATGTTACATACCTTACATGGGCCTGCCTGTCCATCAACCAATGAACCTCTATCCTTTCGTTCTGATTGACCAAGATCTTCAATTCTTACCTCTCTCTCTCTCTCTCTCTCTCTCTCTCTCTCTCTCTCTCTCTCTCTTTCTCTCTCTCTCTCACACACACACACACAAGTGTAATTGAGAGGACTCCATTCTTGTTCGAAACACTCACCTTATGCATCCTGTTATTAGTTCCTTTCGTGTTCTGGATGGTTTTAAAATATGATGGTCTAGTTTGTACATTACTCACCTTATGCATCCTGTTATTAGTTCCTTTCGTGTTCTGGATGGTTTTAAAATATAATGGTCTAGTTTGTACATTAATGTGTTGGGTAGTCAAAAAAATATTATAAATGGTTTAGTGGCCCCTTGTGGAATTTTTTCAGTGTGGTCATTCAAAAAGTGAAAATTTTACATATTCTGGGAAAAACAATTTTCAGCCTTGATATCTGTCATATATTTTGGATAAATTGACAATATCAATTTTAACTTCTCAAATCATAAGTTATCTTAAGTATGCGCCCTTTGTCAATTTGATCCATTACGTATCAATTTTATCAATTGGATCCTTGATATTTGAAAATCATGTTTAACTAGTCTGATCATGGATGTCCGTCTATTTTTATAACAGAATCACACCATGTGCTACTCACGCGACAGGTTTATGTTGGAATTTTGGGAAAAGCCCAAATAAAATTGGGTCAATGTCGGGTCAACAAAACGGTCAAATCTTTTCTCCCTGCAAACCGTCCCCCCACTCCCCACCACCCCCAAAATCTTCCCAGCAACTTGATGGTATTGATTAAACTCATCATTCATCTCCTCTATAGTGGTCTGCCAGGCGACCACCCTTGGTTGTTGCATTTTTTGTGCTGAGGTTGGGACACTCCAATCTCTACCCTTCCCTTTATCTCTACTCCAAACAGGTTGTGCTTAGTCCTTGGTTTTTGCCCATTTATTATGGTAGGTACCTTCACTTCACAGTTTCCCTAATTTTCAGTCGCCATACTTTGAATTTTAGGGTTTCAGATCCAAAACTAAAAAGAAAAACCCGGTGAAGAGTGTTCATAATTTAAGAATGAAAACAAAAAACGTTGTCAAATATCCCTCTCCCTGTCATAGTGGTTCTGTGTGTTGATTGCTGACAAATAGAAGAGAAAGGGGGAAGGAAAAGAGTGGTTGTTTGGGTTGGTCCAGATCGAGGTGCCTTTTTGCCCCAAATTTCCCCCCAAAACCTTGAGCAACACATGCGATGATTTTGTTACCAATTTAGGTGGATGTCAACAATTGGACTGATTAGACACAAATTTCAAACATTAAAGATTAAATTGGTAAAATTGATACTCGAGGGACCAAATTGACAAAAATGCGTACTTTAGGGACCAAAATTGTATTTAATCTTAAAGAAATTTAATACATTGATACTATTTTTTCCGGAAAAAACACGTAATACAAAAGCTTTTAATATTAAACACTAATAATTAGATCAAGAAGCACATTGAGAAATATACAAAACAATGATGCTTGCTACCTGGCTGGCAAATAAGCGAAAATTAGAACATCTAGAACAGAAATTATGCATGTTATCAAAAACATCAATAATTACTTTTTGTTCTCTTCTTCCCCATTCACTCCCAAAACAAACAAAACAAAAATAGCCTCGTCGCAAAATACTTGAAATTGCTGACAATAACAAAATCCACATTTAAAAAAAAAAAGCTTCACAAAGACCCATAAGATTATTAGCAAAACAAAATCTGATATCAAAATAACCCATAAACTTAGCTTATCAATAAGAAACAATAAGAAAAACTTGCATGGTAAAACTTTACTGAATCACTGTTAAATTAGTGTAACAAGTTAGTGTGAGTGTGACAACACAGGGATCAATAAACAAATTCGAGCTCCAATGATGAAGTAAAGGAACATTGATTGAGTTTCTGCTCAAGCAGATACAAAAATATGAGAGGAGTTTGTCAGGGTATCTGTGTGCAAAAACCAGAGAGAGAGAGAGAGAGTTGCTTGTGCATGAGGGAGAATAAAAGAGAGTTTTTCATAAGGAATGATCTGCTTGTCATACAAAATGTGTTTGTGTATAAATTCAGATCTCTCTCTTGGTAGAAGGTTTGTTTAGGTTGTTGGAGTGTTAACCAGACCATGTAATGTGACCAAGATTGGTTATAAGGTTGGGCATTTGAATTTAACTCCCCATGACTGATCTTTTAAATTTTCTTGTCAAACAAGTGGGATCACAACACCCACTGAAGTTTCTTAATGTATTGTAGGGTAAATTTTTCTCGGACCCCTAGCATTAGGTGAAATGACATGGAGACCCCCTTACATTTTCAAAAAGACAAAGCAACCACAATTGCTGTTAAAACCTTGCTGACGTTAACAATTTTGATAACATGACATTTTTACCCTTGCCTCGTGTTTGGAATTATATAAAAATATATCCAAATCTAGAACCAAATCCATTCCCAAACCCATGCCCATACCCTTTAAAACTCGTGACCCAAACCCCGACCTTCTTCTTCTTCTTCCTCCATCCACCCCTTCTCCAAATCCCCACACTAGCCATCCTGTCTCCCCCCCCCCCCCTCCCCCAACAAACCAAAATCAGGCAGTAAGCAAGCATTCTGAGGGTATAGCAATTCAGATGGGGGCATCCCAACGGCCACCTTCTGATACTGAACTATTAATCCCCTGCATTGTGCTGTTTAAAAGCTGCATTCCCTCTTCACCCATCTGCTGAACTTCAGCTGGCGATAGGATTCTGATGCACCGGACACAGCCAACAAATTCCCTGCATATTCATATAAAATCAAGACCATTGGAGAATAAGTTTTCCAACTATTTAGAAATGATTGGTGAAAAAAACCTTCACTAGAAAAAAGCACTCAAAGTAAACCCAAGGCAAATAAAATTTTTGACATGCCAAAGACTCGAATGCTGCTACAAGTAATTCTGAAAATCCTTCTGTTTTACTGTGCATGACAAGATCTAACATGGCATGTGTCAAACTGTAAGAAATATACAAAGGAGCTCCGAAAACACAAATGAAGGTATCCATTGGTCAATTTGCTGCACATGCAACAGCCCGTGCAGTTTTACCCTCAGAAGAAAAATCACTATGCATGAATAAATAAATAACTAATGGAACTTACTCCCAAGGATCATCTCCAACAAGAAGAACATCATTTTCAAAATCCACATACACCAGTTTCCATCCCGAACCTCTTGAGTCGTTGAGCAGCCCCTCAAGTCCAAACATCCGTTCAATTTCAGAGCATAGTTCATCATAATTCTTAAAACTCGAGATATCAATTGACCTTCCAACAGATCCTGCCTTCTGTATCTGCCAGTCAATGTGTGTTCCATCAGACACATATCAGGACAATAAAAAACAGAATCAGAATTACGAAACAAGATTCAGGTACAAGCAAAGCAGTTCATGGAAAATCAGAACACTAGTCCATGAAAAACCAAACTGGAGACTAATAGGAACAGAGGCAGGTGGATTCAATCATGTTTAGTAAATGAGTGTTAATTTACCTCGCATCAACTTCAAAAACAATATGTAAAAAGAAGACTCATATCGAGAAGCACTTGTTTGTCTGCATTTGAGTGTTTTTCCGTTCACACTATAAGTGACAAACTCAGTTTAGGGTCAACCAACAAGACAATGGCTCCAATAATTCATCTAGTGATTGAGATTTTAAAACAATGCACCAATGTCCTAAATCCTCGTCTCCTGAAATAAACCATTATGCTATTTGCTATACGGCAAGACATGTCTTACCTTTGTGTAGGTTCGCACCCGTGGAGTTACTTGTTGCCATGAGCTGTTCTGCAAAAGGCTGGTGTCATCAAAATCCACATTCCTTGAAGATGCACCACCTGAGTTATCAGCAAATTCTTGCACACAGAAAGCCTGAGAGTCTGCTAGGCTGGCTGATGTTATCTGCGACTGAACATCTTGGCTTGAACTGAAGTTGCCCACCAGATAATCTGAAGCATTTTGGAAATCGGCATCCTTCAGTGCGCAAAACTCATCCAATACCGTACTTGAAACAGAAGGATCAACTACAGTGCTTCCACCACTACTACCATCAAAGTTAAAACAACTGTATATATCACTTTGACTATGGCTCTCATCTGACAAATCTTTGAAATTATTGAACTTAGATGTGCCATGAAAGCTAGGTAGGTCTTGCTGAGGTAGTGGAACAAGATGGTTTGATTGGGACAAACACCTCGAATTATTCATTTGATGATCCCACATTTCATGACCTATTGAAGATTCAAGTGATCTAAAAGATCCGGCAAGAGACTGGCTTGTGGAAGAATATGCATTCCATTCAATAGTGTCAGAGTATTGAAATAAACCATTAAG